AATGTTTGCAGTCATGTGTCTGATAAAGGGCTTGTATCCAAAAGTATTCAGAAAGCTCCTAACATTCCAAAAAAGAAAATGGATAATATAATTTAAAAGTAGGCAATTGATCTGAACAAATATTTTACTAAAAATTATACACAGGTGGCAAATAAGCCTATGAAAAGTGCTCAACATCACCCATCACTGAAATGCTGCAACAGGGTGATCGATCCTAGTGCACATCTATCAATATGGCCAAAACCCAGGCACGGACAACATCAGACATCGACAAAGAGATAGAGCAACAGGAACTTCCAATCATTGCTGGAAATGCAAAATGGTGCAGTCACTTTGGAAGATAGGGAGGTTTTTAAAAATATTTTTTATAAAACCAAAGAAACTTAATCTTATGTAATCTAGTACTTACTCTCTTAGCTACTTTCTCCAGTGAATTATATACTTAGGTTTACACAGATGCCTATTCGTAAATTGTAATAGCAGCTTTATTCATAATTGCAAAAATGTGGCAGCAACTAAGATGCCCTTCAATGGCTGAATAGATAAACAAACTGTGGTGCATCCATACAAGGACATATTAATCATTATTAAAAAGAAATGAACTATCAAACCATGAAAAGACATGGAGGATTAAATACACACTGCTAAGTGAAAGCAGCAGTCTAAAAGGACTACATACTGCATGATTCCAATTATATGACATTCTGGAAAAGGAAAAGCTATGGATTGGTGGCTGCCTGGGGAATGACCCAGGAACATGGAAGACAGTGAACGTGCTCTGTTTTACACTAGAAAGGTACACACATGACAGTATGCACTTGCCAAACCCCACTAAGCTGGACAACACAAGCAGTGAACCCTACTGTAAACTACAGGCTTAGGTGAAAAGTAGCGTATCCATATAAGTTCATTATTTTAACAAACGCAGCACACAACGCAAAATGCTCAGAAGAGGGAAAACTGCACGTGGGAAGTACATGAAGCTTAGCCTTTCTGTTATTTTTTCTATAAATTTAATACTATCCTGCTTTGTAAAATAGCCTATAAAATATTTTAAAATAATACGCATTGTACTTTTGGAGAGTACATAAAACATGCCCATATAATTTGAAGAGTAGCCATTCCAGAACCTTACAGGCCCTGGGCATCTTTGCCAATGACATCCTCCCAGCCCAGCCATCAAGAAGTGACCACAACCTTGAATTTTTATTATCAATTACCTTCTTTTTCATTTCTTGCAAAAACTATTCTACTACCCTTGTATATATGTTTTTAAATAATATTTAGTGTTTCCCAGCCTTTGAACTTTAAGCATTAAAAAAAAAAACAAAAAACTTTGGGTGTCATCTGTGATTGGCTGTTTTTGCTCATTGTTCCATAGTTGAGATTCAGCCAAGCTGAGGTGCTTGGCTGTGGGTCATCCACATCCACAGTTGTCTTGTGTCCCTGTGTTAAAAGTGCCTTCTTCCACATTTGGGATGCTCCCAGTTCAGAGCTGTCTTGAACAGTGTTGCTGTGAACAGCCATGCTAGGGTCTCCTGAGGCACATATGGGAAATGTTCCCGGGGGACTGTGGGATACGTGCACATCAAACTTTTCCCAGTGGTTGTGCCAGCGCACTAGCTTCTCAGCCTCATGAGGCTTCCATTGCCCTGAGTCCTGCCAGTGCTTGGTTGCCAAGATAAGTTGCCTGCCTTCCAAATGCTCCTGCCCAGCCAGAATACCATGCCCACCTCCTCTGCCTGCACCCATTTCCTAGCTCTCCGGTGAGAAGCTTCTTTGGCATGAGCAGGCCAGATTGGGGGCTCCCCAGCATCTTGAGCTCTCCTCAGCATGCTGGCTCATGTGGGGTGTGACTCAGCCATGATCCAGTCTGTCTCTTCTGAAGGTCTGGCTCTGAAGGTCCCTGTGGTCATACACAATGGCTGCTCTGGGGTCCCGCCCAACCCTAAAGCAGAGAGGGCTCATGCTGTGTTAGCTGACTCGGTGGAGGAAGAGCCAGTCAGTCTGGGCTCACAGGGAGGCTAGGACTGGGGGAGGTGGTCATAGTGCCACAGCCAGAGGCTTAGCAGTGACACAGAGGCCATGGGGTCAGGTTTAAAGCCACAGTCAAATGTCAGCCTGCTCTGAGGGGGACTATGTAGTCCGGACAGGGAGAGGAGTTGGAGAGAAAACAGAACTCCACTCCTTTCTCCCCTCCTCAGACAGCAGGGTGAGAGAGGACTGCCTTTGTTTAAATCCAACCCACACCACTCACTGGCTGTGTGACTTTACGTAAGTTGCTGAACTTCTCTGGGCTAGTTTCCTCATATATAAAATGAAGAAAATAATATCTTCTACCTTACAGTGTTGCTATAAAGATTAAATGCAATGAGTTAGTACTTGTCAAACGTGGAACGGTTCCTGGCGTATGACAAGTGCTGTATCAATATTAGTTACATAGACATGAGTGAGGATGCAGAACTCAGGTGCCTTTTGCTGACTCCAGGGCATTTCCATACCTGTGTTCACCTTGGGAGGAGAATCCCTTCGGTGGGTCCTTCATGTTATTTTCAAGCTCTTTGTTCTATTTACCTTTAACTGTGATTCAGACTACGTGATCTAAAGAAGCAGTGTTGATTTGCCCATGTGTTTAGTCCATACCCCACTAGCCTGGGCACCACAAGATCTAGGGCCAAGGCTGCCTCGATCCCCTGTGTCCCTGTGGAAGGTTCTGGGCCAGTGGGAGTGGGGCAGGGCTGTGCTTGGAAGCCTGAGGAAGCTGCGAACGAAGCAGGCAGAGCAGGCCCTCTGGTGGGACCCAGAGTGAGGAGCCAGGCCTCCAAGCAGGGGATCCTGATATGGAAGCACAAGCCAATTACTTGGCAGAGAAGTTTCCAGTGGGGGCATAGTACTAACAAAAGTGTGGAAGTCCAGAATAAGGCCCTTGCCTGGAATCCTAGGGTATTCAGAGAGCTCAGCAAACTAGGTATTTGGGAGGTGTGGTGGGATCATGGAGATCTCTGATACCTCCCGCCAAGACCAGACTTTCTCCCCAGCTGAAGGCCCTGGGGAAAATGGCCCCATGAAGGATACCATAGGACACCTCATCCCCTGCGTGCATTGTTTACCCATTGCTCTGTACCCGACAGAGGAGGGTCTGTGGGAAGTCACTGGGCAGCTTGGCATCCTTTGGTAAACCAGGGGGCTGTGTGTCCACACATCAAAGGGTTCTGCTACAATAGCAGCAGACCAATGGGGAAACCCTAAAAAAAGAGTAGGAAAAGAAGACCTAGCCAGAAAAGGTACAGAGAGAAATCTCAGTAGATACCAGAGGGAAATACAGAGATACACTCTGCACTGGAGAGGACCCTGTCCCTCCCAGACTTTTTCCTCATCTGTGTAGAAAGGCCCTTCCTTGGTACCCCAGGGCTCCTCAGTTTGTAAACCAGAGTCTTGGAAGGTCTGGAGTGTGCTCAGGCTCTAAGAACAGCCATCAATAGCAGAAGTAGTAATTACAGGATAGAAAGAAGGAAGACAAGAGCCTTCTCCTCCTCAGCAGTAAAATGGGGTTGGTCAAAGGACACGCTTCCTAGAACTGTTGTGAAGACTGAGTAACACATAGTTCCAGCTATCATTGCCACCACCATTACTGCCATCATCACTACAACAAATGTCATCATCACCACCAACACCACTATTCTGGCTGCTGTCCCTTTCACCCCAGATTATCCCTAGTGTTGACATCTGTCCACAACCCTAAATCCTTGGGATGCGCAGAGAATTCTCCTGGGATTGATTGGGCAGTGATGTGTGCTCTTTTGCTAACTGCATGATGAATGGTGGCCAGATGGTACCTCTTCCCTGGAAAATGTGAATGAATTCAGTTCCTTCCCCTTTGGCTCATGGCAAAGCCAATGTCAGGTCTGCCTTTGAAGTTCCAATTGTGTCTGTTTTGTACCCTGCTTCCTACCAAGGTGTACACAGGAGGAGGTGGCAAGATGGAGGTCCCAGTTCTAAATCTGTTTCCTAAATGATATTCTCTGATTGTGCAAATCCTTCCTGAACTGAGTGTGTGTTTTAAGATAAATGAAATTGGGTAATTTTTATAAAACTCAGTGTATACATTTGTGGTAAGAGTACATCCATTCCCTTAAAACTTTTCTCTGATAGTGCAGAGAAAAATGGAGATCTTCATTGCCTTCTTAGAATTTGCTGCCTCAGATGGAAAGTATACTAAGCAGCACGCCCAGTAGAGCCTTCTCTGACCCCCAAAGGCATGATCAGCTATGCCAGGAGAAAACCAAAAAAACCCTGGCTTCTAAGTATCTCAGCCTTTTTCAATTTGAAACATCCTGGGAAGACCAGTGTTAGCTAAGGGCAAGGCTTTTACGCAAGGTTCTTCATCTTCACAACAACTGCGTGAAAAGAAGTATATTGTTGATTATGTTGAACATCACATAGTATCCAGAAAGAGCTGTCTGAATGTTTATTCCATAGAAGTACTGCTAAGAGTCTTTCCCTAATGAAGGTTACAAATGCAGTGAAATTTCTCCTATGAAGGACTATGTAAATGGGGACTTCGACAATGTATGAGAATGTAATTTATTTACTTATTTATTTTGCATTTGGTTGTTACAGGGTCTCACTGTTGACCTATGGACTCCTGCTGTTTTCAGCCTCCCCAGCGCTGGGATTACAGGCATGAGCCATCAAGCCTGGTCTTGGTGGCCAGCTCAGCATGCCTGGGGACAGGGTTAGTACAGAATGTGGTGCCAGAGGAGAGTATACTTTTAAGCAGTCTGACATCTCTTAATTCTGCATACATTAATATCGATATTAAATTATTTCACAATACCTTGCATCTGTCCTCCCTGAAATGATTATCTTCAGACATAAGTGGTTGCAATTAAGGAGGTGTTCCTGATAGAAAATGGTGCAGGCTGGCGGTGCACCTCCCTGTGTTCTCTCTGAAGCTGTGTACATCCTGCAGGTCTCCCTCCTGCTTGCTGGCCACTTACCTCCATGCTGTACCTCTCCACTGTCCTTCGCAGGGGGTCCACGGCTTGCCAGCAGATCAGGATGCATAGGTCAATCAGCAACATGCCCCCCACGATCACGAGCAGCTTCTGGTCCTTGATGATCTACAAAGGGGACAGGCAGATGTAAGAAGATGTTCCCAGACTACAACTGAGGGGCCAGGACAGAGCAGTGGCTGCATCACAGGTCTCTAGTGTGAGTGTCTGGAGACTCCTTACCACCCACAGGCAAACAAAATCAAGCTCCTCTGTTTGACCTTGAAGAACTTTCACAAGTTTGGTCCACCCATTTCCTAAACACACAGGTACACTTTGTTGAAATGTGGCCATTGCTAGTATGTAGCCAGGCTGTCTGCCCTTTGGTCTGGAACACCTTATTCTTTCTGCCTGGCAAACTTCTAATCATTCTTAAAAATCTAGATCAACTGTCACCTACCTAAGGAAGTCCCTTTTGATGTCCACAGAAGAGCTGATTATGTACAGAGCACTTTACCCATACACTTAATTATTAAAAGCAGCCATGCTGGTAGCAACAGTGAGAAGAGCAGCTAAGGTGTAATGAACAATTGCTCTATGCCTACCCCTAAGATGATGGTTTCAAATGCATCATAGCATGTAAGGGAGGGTACTATTATTATTCCTGTTCTGCAGATGAAGAAACTGAAGTCTATGTGTGGGCTCTCAGGAACTGGTTCAAGGTGATAAAGCTGACCTTCCCAGCTCTCTTTGCAGCCTAGGATAGCTGTCCTGTGCTGTGAGAGTTCTACCCACTTTACATGTGTTCATAAGGAGGGGCCTGTGGATAAACACTGCCAGTCCCAGAGCTTGCCTGGAGTTTGTTCACTGAAGTCCCCTCACCTTGAGCTAGCACACAGATGAAAGTGAGTGTTTCATCTGGAAAAGATGTTGCTCTGGAAAAGATTTCATGGAAGCATAAAACTGAAAGAGAAACATAAAAGATATTGCCCAGTGTGGCTCTCCATGAGTAAGCCCATTTTAAAGGGAGAAACAGAAACTCAAAAGCCTCTCTGTGGCTGGATATGAAGAAAACAGAAAAGAAGGTGTCGCTGAATTACTGCTCAAAAGATCAAATCCACCAAAACCACTTTTCCTGGGCAGAGGACACTGACAAAGACCTGTATTTGAACCCTCAAGAAGGATCCAGAAAACCAGTGATGCTTTGTTGAAACCTTGTTTAACCCTTGTCCCTCTAGGTCATCATAAGCAGAGGGAAAGGAAGAAATGTCCAAGGAGGTTGGGATTTCAAAGACAGGCTGGAAGAGGTCTCTGTGCTTGACATTGGATCCAGGGCTGTGTGAGCCCCCAGGCATTTGTCTTTATTGTGCCCAACCTTGGGGGCTCTTCTCACCTTCTGCTAATGCACTCTTATCCCAACTTCAAGAATCAGCATATCTCCTTGCTCCTGAACCTGGGAGTGCCCTGAATGGGATGCAGTTCACCTTAGAAGATCATCACCAGGAGTTTTGATGGATGTGATGAGGTATGAAGTTTGAAGCAGCATGGGGCAGAGGAATTCAGAAGGACTTAGAATTAGTGGGCCTGGGTTAGAAGCCTGGCTCCATTTTATGCTACTTGTGTGGTCACAGGCAAGTCACTTCCTCTCTTCCTCATTCTGCATTTCTCATTTTTATTATGACTGGGTGGAGGTGAGGCTTCTTCTTTAAGTATAGTATAAAAGAAGGAACACAGGTTTTGGAATTGAAAGACTTCATTCTAATTCTATTTCTTGGCCAAATTGATCAGGTGAGTTGCTCTAATTTGCTGAGCCTCAGGTTCCTTCCTGCTAAGGTGGGGTCATTAATCTCCAAGTTGCACAGTTGGCAGTAGAGTAAAATGAGACACTTTATTAAAAGAATCTAGGGCCAGCCAGATAGTTCAGTGGACTATCTGGGGGCTCTATCCCCAGTATGCTGTGCCAGCTCCACCCCTAGGGTGTGCAGTTGAGAATGGGCGTAGTGTCATGAGCCTGTAATCCCAGTGCTTGGGAAGCTAAAAACAGGAGGATCACTATGAGTCCGATCTGTGTAGTGAGACCCTGTAGACCCTGTACTAAACACATTTAAAAAAGGAAAAAAAAAAAAAAAAAGAATCTAGTACATGGTTTGGCACAGAGAAAATGCTCAATAAATGGTAGCTAGTATACTTGGGTTTTCACTCTTGGTGATTCTGTTTGATGTGTCAGGACAGTGACACCTTGGGGCAAGTGTGATATTGCACCTCAGCTCTCCTAGACATACTACGAATGAATAGAAGGATCCACAGCGGGAAAGTATTGCAAATAAAAAAAGAACATATCTAATTTTCTTTTGACTCCATTTCCAAAATCTGGCACTTAACCAGTGTTTGTGACTGAGTGAACTTTGGCTAAGTAGTTATGAATCACATTTTATTTACTCACTGCAGAAATATTTATTAAGCACTTAAATGGAGTCAGTTTCTGTTCTAGGCACTATGGATGCAGAAATGGACAAAACATAATCACTGTCTTTCTGGAGCATGAATTGTAATGGGGAAGACTAATGATGAAAACAAACATATCCGTGCATGTGCAAAATATCAAGGAGAGATGACTTAAAACAAATTTAAAGCTCTAAAGTGAAGGAGGGACAGGAAATGCAACATGGTCTTGACCATATCAAGCTGAGCCCAGATCTTGCATCGGGCAAGGGCTGCATCCCAAGTCTCATTACAACTTTACCATTTCTTTCCTTCTTTTTTAGGTTACCCCAACTACTCCCTGGGTTATATCAGCATTCACGGATGTCATGACACGCAGGCCCATCCTCAGCCGGATGGCTCTCAGTGCTGCACTGTGTCATTAGAGAAGGGGGAAAAGATGCCCCAAAACAATCCAACACCTGATTCTGGAGTCAGTTCTGAGTTTGATGTGAACTAATGAATTGTGTGATCTTGGGCAAACCCTCTGACTCTACTGAGTCAGTTTCTTCCAATTTTTTTTTTTTTTTTTGGCGGAACCGGGGATTGAACTCAGGCCCTTGCGCTTGCCAGGGAAGCGCTTATTCCACTGAGCCATCTCCCCCGCCCAGTTTCTTTACCTATAAAATGGGAAACTATCCTATAAGTCACCTTAGGTGACCAGAACCAACTACTATTCAGAAGAAGCCAGCTAAATGACAGAAAAGACATTTCTAAATGTCACCTCCCATTTGTTGTTGAGAGCAGAGATGAACAAACTACAGATTTTGCTCACTCTTTTGTAAATAAAGATTTATGGGAATACAGCTACACATATTCATTTGCATATCTTTCCACAGATATTGTCATTCTATGAAGCAGAGCTGAGTAGCTACAAAAAAGACAGTAGATCCTGAAAAATGTCATGTATTTACCTGGATCTTTAAAGAAGAAACTTTCTAAACAAGACTGACCTCTTGTTTAGAAAAAAGTGCATTCCTTTAGTTCTTTAAAAAACTTCAGGTATTGGACTGGTTCAGGCTGGCCTCTCAGGGGCAGCTCACTGCCCCTTCAGTGCGGATGGTGTCCCAGGATGTATCACACATTGCCCTGGCCTCGTGCTGTTACTCAGACAGCTGATGCTCTGAAGTGGCAGGGGACACCCTTCCCTGGTCTTTCCCTAGACTCAGCCCAGATGATGTTCTGGGTCACTGTCCACATCAGTACCAAGTCCTGTGTCCTCAAAAACATCTGCCCCAGAACAGAAGGTCTCATCACTGAATTACTATTTCATCCCAACACTTCAATTTGGTCCTTGTAAGAGGCAGAATAAAGTCTACAATAAGTTCCTCATTTAAGATTTTATGGTTGTCTTTAGAAAAAACAGTAATGCTGAATTTGGGGAGCATTAACTCACCATGAGTCAATATTTTCTTTAATAGGCTCCTTTTCCTCTAATGTTTTTAAAAATGTGGCCATAAGGAGTGACACTTCTGTCTATGTGCTTGGGGAGGGCTTGCCCTTGTGGGTGAAGAGGGTAGAGACTAATGAGAAAGGGAAAAGATAAGAATGTAATAAAAAGATACAGGATTACATTTATAAACTTATGCAATGCTAATATATTTATCAGCAAAAAATTAAAAGGTCTACTAAAAATGTTCAGACTTCTTTAAAAGAAATCTAATAAAACAAGTTGGTTGCACAAAGAGGGACACTGTGCAGCTCCATTTATGTGAGGCTCCCAGAGGAGTCAGAGACAGAATGCACAGAGTGGTAGCCAGACTGGGGAGCAGAAGTGGGCAGTGAGCGGCCTTTAGTTCTTCCAAGGGCAGCCTAGAGGAGGGCAGGAAAGGAAACTGATACTTTTATGGGGTCATCAGACGTGTATTCAGGGACCAGATTATTTTGCAAAGGCTAAGGCAGCTACAGCTCAAAATGCGGCTACATCCATAGATTCTAGCTTTTTATATAACTGAACTTGTCCTTTGTTATTATTTTAGTTTATTGGTTTGTTGAATTGTGGTAAAATACATACAACATACAATATACCATTTTAACTACTTTTCAATGGTCAGTTCAGTGGCGTGTACTGAACTGAGATGAAAGTGACCTTGTGTGACTGGAGCCACCTGATGTCAGCTCCCTCTGAGGCTGTCTATTTCTTTTACTGCTTGATGACACTTACTGCTCTCCATCCTTTCCGTCTCTGACATCACTCTCACCATCCTTGATGTCATTTTCCTCACTGGTTCTGATGCCCTCCTCACCATCACAGTCGGCCTCTGGATCTCTGTGACATAATTACTGTCCTCTGATGTCCCTACCTTTCACCTTCAGTCTGACCTCATAACCCTCAGGGCCCCCACACTTTATTCTCCACTGCAACCTGATATCATGAGCAAAAGAAGAATAAGAGAAAGTATTAAACAAATAACAGAGAAGGAGGGGAGAGAAAATAAAGTAAAAAACCAGAATTTTTAAAAAAGTTAAGCCAAAGAGAAAGGTGTGTGTGTGTGTGTGTGTGTGTGTGTGTGTGCATGTATTTTCTTGTCTTTCAGGAAATCCCTATCCTAGGACCCTGGGTGCACCCAAGTTGGTGTAGCCCCTCAGGGCAGAAGCATGTATGTAGGGCTCAGGCAGTGCAGCAGGAAGGGAGAGGACCCCGGCCCCTGGAGACCATGTCCTACCACTGCTCACCCAGAGCCACAGACATCAAACTCCTGAAATTCCCTCCTGATGTGTTCTGTTGGCTGTTGCCAGACAAGGGCGTATTCATGTTCAGTAATCACATGAGCAATGGAACATAGAGGCCAGCTCTTTATTACAGACGGCAACTTGGATGAATCACATATTAGCACAAAGGAATCAACACTGTGATTCTTCCAAATCAGAATGAAGCTGTCACAAATGGCAGAGCATGTCTCTATGCAGAGCTGTAGAGCAGGAGGGCCCATGTCTCTCACACCCTGGCTGTTCTCAGCAGTGTCCATGTCCTCAGCAGTGTCCACAGGAATGCTGCTGGGAACATGGGTTCTTGAGCCCCATCCCTGGATTCTGGTGATTAGGGCCAGTATGGGCCCCGACACTGCATTTCTAAGAAGCCCTCCTTTCCCCACCTGCCAGCCCACATTCTGAGCAGCCTTGGTCTAGGCAGAGGGTTCTTAATACAGGTGTTGCATTAGTATAGTGGTCTTCCTTTTCACCCCACTGCATCTTTGATTCAACCAACTACAGATGGTTTGCTATGTAGTTAGACCCACAGTGGTTGCATCTGTCCTAAACATGTACTGACTGTTTTTCTTGTAATTATTCCTTAACCAATACAACAATAGGATAGTACAACCATTTGCATAGAACTTATATTTATTAGGTATTGTTAATAACTTAGAGATGATGTAAAGTATATGGGAGGGTATGTGTAGTCTATGCAAAAGCTATAGCATTTTGTATATGGGACTTAAACAGTATTGGATTTTGGTATGGAGGAAGGTATGCAACCAGTCTCTGGATGATAACCAGGGTCGGCAATATCAGCTCAGAAAGTCTAAAAACTAACGATGTCCAGCTCCAGCTCCAGCTCCAGCGCTGTAGAAATTGAGGCTCAACTGGCCTGGGCTGGGCTACTTCCTGGAGTTTTCCAACCTTCCCATGTGTGGGAAGGGTAGAGAACAGGGTGGTCAGGCTGCTGTTCCACTTCCTGTGAGTGCTTCTGGTCCAGAGGGCAGTGAGGAGCACAGGGACTGTGTGCCTAGTCCACGCTTTTCTCTAAATATGGCCTACAGTCTTCCCGAGCTGGCCTGGGCATGGGATGGGGGCAGGGAAATCAGGGTGTATCTCACCTCACCTGGGGAGGACAAGGGAGCTGTAGCTGCCCCCAAGCAATCCCAGCAGTAGGAGGGGAGTGGTGGGCCTCAGAGCTCAGCGCCCTTGGCACCTGGCAGGAGGCACAGAATCCCAACTCAGGAGGCAGTGCTATTAATATGTCCGCATTCGATCCCTCAGTTCATGAGCGTGACGATTGGGTGTTCTTATCTTATGCATGAGAGGTGCCTCCCTCAAACCTTGTTACAATGTGGGCACATTACCTGTCTGATGTGAAAAAAAAATATGTCCCCATTCTACAGATGAGGGAACAGAGGCCCCAAAGTTGAAGTGATGTGGCTCAGGTCACATGGCAGGTCAATGGCAGAGCAGGCCTGTTTTGCCTGGTAGTTCCACTGCCTGGGCAGGATTGCTGTCTGCCAGGGGCTTCAGGGAACCAGGGCAGATTGCGAATTCCTGAGAACAATGGGCTTTTTTTCTCTTCAACCACCATGAGATTTCTCCCCATCATCCATTCTCTGTGGTGTCCGAACTCCCTGCATTTGGACCTTTAAGTGGTGGCAGGGACAGATCAAACCTTACTTGCCAGTTTGGTGTCAGGTTTGCTGGTCAGGGTAGGAATTTAATGGATCTTTTAGATTCCTATGTGTGCTTTGTGAATCCCCATTATTGGGGCTTTGTCCCTTGCCCTTGAATGTTGGACAGTCCCATTAGATCATCTGTTGTATGTCCCCCTCATCCCTGAGCATACTGAAGCACCCCATCCCAGGGTCACTTTGCCTCCCCCAAGGTTTTGACAGGCCACACAGTGCTGCCTGACCTGTAGTCCCCAGCTGGTACCCAGGAAATTCCCATGTACCCTTCACTGTCACAAGCTCGAGGATGGCAGGCTGATGGTGTGGCACAGTGGCCTCCACTTCTGTCCTGACCTCTGAGCACCTGAAGTTGGTGGAAGCTGCCACAGATCTGATGTGGGTTAGGTCAGGGTATGTAGTGGGAAGTTTTGGACATTGGGGTAGGGGGACTCGTGGACCACAGGACCTTCCAGGACATGAAGTTTGCTCTCAATTTTTTCTAGGAGCAGGGAAAGAACTAGGAGTACTGCAAGAATTTAAGAGACAAAGTTCTGTACTTCCATATCCCAACAGCTATGTTTAGTCAATATCATGGCTATACTCATCTACAAAGGTGACATAGTTTCCATTTGCATGAAGGCTGAGCCTATATCTTCTGAGGGACTCTTTGAAAACAGAATCACTGTTAGATTCCACCGCTGTTTCACTCTCCTCTTTAAAGGGCTCTCCACTGCCCAGAAGTTCAATTTCAGATTCCCTAAGGTGGCTCCTACCTTCTCCTCCAGCCTGTTCTTGCACCCTGTTCCATGAACCCCAGGTCCCTAGCCATCCTCAGCTTCTCAGCCCCCTTGATCCATCCCTCCTATCCTCAGGCTGATGCATACAAGGTTTGCAGAATCCCCATCCTCTTTGCCTGACCAACTCCCACTTGCCTTCCAGGCTCCATAAGACATGGCACATCTTATGTGGAGCCCTCCCTAAGGGCCTTGTGCCCCAGATACCCTCTGTCAGCCCTTTCTTTAAATGTTGCAAATGCTCTGTATGACTTCCCCATGAGGCTGAGATACCAGGAAGTAGAAATTGTATTTCACCTGGATCCCCAGCAAAGAGCTCAATGCTGGCACACAGTAGGTGCCTAATGGTTGTGCTAAGTAACTGCAGTGTGGGCAGTGTCAATGCACTGAAGCAGAGGGAGGATAATTACCTTCTTCTTCATTTTCACATTTTTAAAGATGGCGTGGACTCTCCATGTCTTTGCAAACATAGCCCCAAATGCAGTTGTGTAGCCCACAGTGAGAATCCAGGTCCTGACCTAGAGGCCGTAAGAAAACAGAGGTATTAATATCCCTTAGGTGTGTGGTGAGACTAACCTAGTAGCAAGAATCAAAGTGATAGGGACAGATGCTCTACTCTGCGTGCTGTAGAGACCCCTCAGCATCCTTCAATCAAACTTCAGTTTGATAGACATTTGGATCTTCCAACCACTTGTTGAGCTCAGGGAGGGAGCTAGTCACACTCAGCACTGTTGAGAGATCACTAGGAAGCTGCAGGAGCAGTTCTCTGGCCTGTCCTCCCAACTTCTCTCCCCTCCTCCTGTGGCCTGGCCCTCCTTGCCCAGGGTTAGGCCACTTGGCTACTACAACCCAGCGTGACCTTTGGAGACCAGGTACTCAGTCCTAGACCCGCCTGGAAGCCAAGTTCTCACCTGGACTTTGGGTGCCTGCTCAGGACTAAGGCCTATTTGGCTTTTATCTGTCCCCAGGACCAAGGTGTGCCTCATTGCCTAGTCCTGGGCTGGCCCTGATACAAATCTACAGGCTCAAGGTCCTTGCAGCTAGGGAAAGACTCTGTTGATTATCAGGGGCTTCCAGAATATACCTCACCCTGAATTGTCACTGCTCCCAGACCTAATATTTTTTCCCCATAATTTTATTGAGAAATAAATAGCAATGAGAAAGTTTCAAACCAAATTGGTAGGACAGTTTCAATAATTAACACTTTGCATACATTCTTCCTAGTGGTTAGTTGCTGTACAAAATGCGGACTTGATATCCTATTTACAAACACCATTAGAACAAATCTCTCTATTCATTAAGGGAATGTAACTATATATCTATCCTAACTACTTTCAATGCACAGATACAAACTGAACATTCATCTGTATCCCTTTTTTTTTGTTAAGTTCTGTCATTTGAATATTATAGGTGTGTAAACTCAGCAAAATATTCT